TGGAGCTATATAAAAGCGAAGTTTTTATACACAATTGAAATTAAGTTGGTGCTAATCTGAAAGAGATTGCTATAAATTAAGATGTTAATTTTAATCCCCAGGGCGACTGCTAGGAAAATAACTTTTAAAATATTGTAAAATAAACAAGAGGATTAAAAATGTGTACTAGAAAATGCCTGTTTAACACAAAAGAAGGCTGTAATGGAGAAACTGAGGTACCAAAAAGATATGATATATAAAAAAACATATAGAGAGAAACAAAGGCAGAGATTAGCAGAATGGACTTAAAAGTCTGAACCAACTATATACTGTCTAGAATAGACTCATTTGAGAATCAGACACAAATAAGTCAAAAGTAAAAGGATAAAAGATGATATTCCATGCAAACTATAACCAAAAGAGAGCTGGAGTGGATATATTAATACTGGACAAAGTAGACTTTAAGGCAAAAATTGTTATCAGTGACAATGGACATTATATTATGATGAAACGGTCAGTTCCTGAAGAACATATAACAATTATAAAGATATATACACCTATCAACAGTGTCACAAAATACATGTAGCAAAAACAGAAGTGAAGGGAGAAATAGACAGTTCAGCAATAAAAGCTGGAGACCTCAATATCCCATTTTTAATAATGCATAGAACAATTAAATAGGCAGAAGATCATAAAAGAAATAGAAGACTTCAGAAACCACTATAAACCAACTAGATGTAACTGATGGATGTAGAACACTTTGTGCAACAACAGAATATACATTCTTCTCAGTGCACATAGAACATTCTCCAGGATAGACCACATTTCAGGGCACTAAACAAATCTCAATTAATTTAAAAATATTTAAATCATACAAGGTATGTTCTTTGTTCACAATGGAATGAAATTAGAAATCAGTAACAGAAGGAAATTTGGAATATTTACAAAAATGTGTAAATAGGACAACACATTCTCACAAAATAAATGGATCAAAGATACAAGGGAAACTAGAAAATACTTTCAAATGAAAAAAAATACAACATACCAAAAATTATGGGATGCAATAAAATCTGTGCTCAGAGAGAAATGTAAATGCCTACATTTAAAAATATCTCAAACCAACAGCCAAATCTTCCACCTTAAGCAACTAGAAAAACAAGAGACAACTAAACCCAAAGCAAGAAGAAAATAATAAAGATTACAGTGAAGATAAAATAAATAGAAAAGCAATAGAGAAAATCAACAAACTAAAACCTAGTTCTTTGAAAAGGCCAACAAAACTGACAAATTTAGTTGGACTGGCCAAGAAATGGAGATATGACTCAAATTACTAAAATGAGGACTGAAAGGGGGGAACATTACAGAAATAAAGGATTGTAAGGGAACTCTGTGAACACCTGTAATGGCAAAAAATTACACAACCAAATGAACAATTTTCTAGAATGACAGACACTATCAAAATGGACTCAAGAAGAAATAGTGTATCTGAATAGACCTATAGTAAGCAAAGAGACTTAGTACTTTAAAAAACACACAACAAAGAAAAGTCCAGGATCAGGTGGCTTCACTGATGAATTCTACCAAATGTTTAAAGAAGAATTAAGATCAATTTTTCTTAAAATCTTCCAAAAACTAGGAGAAAGAAATACTTCCAAACTCATTCTAAGTGTCAAGTATTAACTGGATTCCAAAGCCAAACAAAGACATCACAAGAAAACTATAGACCAATACCTCATATCTATATAGATTAAAAAGTCCTCAACACAATACTAACAACTGAATCTAGCATAATATTTAAAAGATTATATACACTATGACCAAGTGGTACATAGCCCAGGAATACAAAGCTGGTTCATCACATGAATATCAATTGATATAATATACCATAGTAATAGAATAAAGTGAAAAAAACACATTACCATTTCAATAAAGGAGAAGAAAGCAATTGACACAAATGCAATGCCCTTTCAAGGAAAAAAACTCAACAAGGATGCTCAATTTTTCCACTTCTATTCAATACTGTACTGGAAGTTCTAGCCAGGGCAATCAGACAGGCAAAGAAATAAAAGACATTCAGATCGAAAAGGAAGAAGCAGAACTATCTCTATTAGCAGATAACATGATCTTCTATACAGAAAACCTTACCCACATGCACACAAAATATTAAAGCTAACGAGTTCAGCAAAGTTGCAGGATACAAGATAAATTGCAAAAATCAACTGTACTTCTAATATGCTATTGTGTTGTTGTTAGGTGCCATTGAGTCAGTTCCAACTCACAGCAAACCTATGTACAACAGAATGAAACACAGCCCAGTTCTGCACCATCCTCACAATCATTGCTATGTTTGAACCCACTGTTGCAGCCACTGTGTCAATCCATCTCGTAGAAGGTCTTCCTCTTTTTCCCTTATACTCTGCCTTACCAAGCAGGATGTCCTTCAGGGACTGGTCCCTCCTGATAACATGTTCAAAGTATGTGAGACAAAGTCTCACCATTCCCACTTCCAAGGAGCATTCTGGCTGTATTTCTTCCAAGACAGACTTGTTTGTTCTTCTGGTAGTCCATGGTATATTCAATATTCTTCGTCAACACCATAATACAAAGGTATCAGTTCTTTTATGGTCTTCCTTATTCATTGTCCAGCTTTCGCATGTGTATGAGGCAATTGAAAATACCATGGCTTGGATCAGGCGCACCTTAGTCCTCAAAGTAACATCTTTGCTTTTTAACACTTTAAAGAGGTCTTTTGCACCAGATTTGCTCAATGCAATACATATTGTTTGATTTCCTGACTGCTGTTTCCATGGGCATTGACTGTAGATCCAAGTAAAATGAAATCCTTAACGTCAATCATTTCTCCATGTATCATGATGTTGCTTACTGGTCCAGTTGTGAGGATTTTTGTTTTATGTTGAGGTGCAATCCATGTTTAAGGCTGTAATCTTTGATCTTCATCAGTAAGTGCTTCAAGTCCTCTTTGCTTTCAGCAAGCAAGGTTGTGTCATCTGTATATCGCAGGTTGTTAATGAGTCTTCCACCAATCCTGATGCCACACTCTTCTTCATATAGTCCAGTATCTCAGATTGTTTGCTCCCATACAGATTTGACTAGTGAAACGATACAACCCTGATGCATACCTTTCTTGATTTTAAATCATGTACTATCCCCCTTGCTCTGTTCAAACAACTGCTTCTTGGTCTATTTATAGGTTCTGCATGAGCAAAATTGTTTTGGAATTCCAAGTCTTTGAAATATTATCCATAATTTTTTATGAACCACCCAGTAAAATGTCTTTGCATAGTCAATAAAACACAGGTAAACATCTTCCTGGTATTCTGCTTTCAGCCAAGATCTATCTGAATTCAGCTCGAATTTCTGACAGTTCCCTGTCAATGTACTGCTGCAACTGCTTTTGAGTGATCTTAAGCAAAATTTTACTTGTGTGTCATATTAACAACATTGTTCAATGATTTCTACATTCTTTTGGATCACCTTTATTTGGAATCGGTAGAAATACAGATCTCTACCATCAGTTGGCCAGGTTGCTGTCTTCCACATTTCTTGGCATAGACGTGTGAGCCACTTCCAGCGCTGCATCTGTTTGTTGAAACATCTCAATTGGTATTCTACACACTAGCAATGAACAATCCAAAATAAAATTAACAATTCCACTTACAATAATCTCAAAATGAATTAGGTATCTAGGAACAAATTTAACCAATGAAGTGTAAGACTTATATACTGAAAATTACAAAACATTGTTGAAGAAACTAAAGAAGACTTAAATACATGAAAGACAAGACAGCCTGCTTTTATGAATTGGAACATTTAATATTGTTAAGATGGCAATATTCCTCAAATTAATCTACAGTCAATGCAATTCCTATCAAAATTTCCACTGCCTTTTGTGCAAAAATGAACAAGCTGATTCTAAAATTCGTATCAAAATGTAAGGAAATCAGAATTGTCAAAATAATATTAAAAACAAAACTGGAAGACTCACACTTCCCCATTTCAAAACTTGCTGCAAAGCTACTGTAATCAAGACAGTGTGGCACTGGCGTAAGAATAGACACATAACCAACGGAACAGAATTAAGTGTCCAGAAATAAACTCATATTTCTATGGTCAATTGATTTGACCGAAGTGTTGACACAATTCAATCAGGACAATGACAGTATTTTCAACAAATGGTGCCGGGACAACTGAATATTCATTTGCGTAAGAATTACATTTGGACCCCCACCTCACACCATATATAAAAATTAAGTCAAAATGGATCAACGACCTAAATGTAAGAGATAAAATTACAAAACTCTTAGAAGATAACATGACTGTAAACCTTCATGATGTAATTAGGCAATGGGTGCTTAAATAAGACACCCAAAGCTCAAGCAACCAAAGCAAAGAAATAAATTGGGCTTTGACAAAACTAAAAACATTTATGTCAAAGGAAAATGAAATGTCAACACAAAGAATGGGAGAAAAGAGTTGCAAATAATTTATCTGATGAGTCTAGTATTCAGAATATACAAAGAACTCTTAAAAGACAACCCCCACTGTAGGATTTGAGTAGACAATACCCCTAAGATATACAAATGACCAATAAGCACATGAAAACGTGTTTGATATCATTAGTCATTAGGCAAATTTAAATTGAGACACAACTTCACACACACACCATAATGGCCATCATAATACATTTTTTAAAAGGAAAATAACAACTGTTGGCAACAATGTGGAGAAATTGGAACCCTCATACATTGCTGGTAGGAATGTAAAATAGTGCAGCTGCTGTGGAAGACAATTTGGTGGTTCCTCAAAAAGTTAAACATAGAATTACCATATAATCCATACATATATTCACACAACAACTTGTACACAAATGTTCATCGTAACCTTCTTCATAATAGCCAAAAAGTGGAAACAACCCAATTGTCCATCAACTGAATAATGGATAAACAAATGTGGATTTTCATTCAGTGGAATATTATTCAGCCATGGGAAGGAATGAAGTACTGATAAATGCTGTAACATGAACCTTGAAAACATTATGCACGTTAAAAAAGCCAATCACAAAAGACCACATATTGTATGAGTCCATTCATATGAAATGTACAGAATAGGCAAATCCATAGATAGGAAGTGGATTAGTGCTTGCCAGGCAATAGAACGGAGGAATTGTGAATGACTGGTAACGTCTAAAGTTTCTTTTTGAAGTCATGGAAATATTCTGGAATTTAATGGTGATGGTTGCACAATATTGTGAATATACTGAAAACCACTGTACATTCTAAAATGACTTTTATGTCAATTAAAATATGGCATTAAAAACCACACATTACTTATTTGACCAATAAAAAGGGAGTCAATTTGAAGGAAAACTTAAAAGCGGATGATACTTAGGTATGAGAAAAATAAAGAGGGTACTTGAGTTTGAAAAAACTACAAAATAAATCAGTTCTACGAATCTCTTCTAATTAAAATCCTACACATCTTTTTAAGAAATGTATTTATTCTTTTGGTATTACATCTAAGAAGGCTTTACCTAACCCAAGTTCATGAAGATATACTTCTATATTTTCTTGCTTTCACTTTAGATATACAATCCATTTTTTTTTTTTTCTTTTTGGTGCGAATCTTCATTCTTTTTTCTCTGTATTCTTTAGATTGCATAATCTTTATTGATCTACCTTGAAGTTTGCACATTCTTTTTTCTAGCAGCTCATACTGTTGAGCACCTCTAGTGAACTTCAATTATTGTACTTTTCAACTCTACAATTTTCATTTGGTTCTTTTTTATAATTTTGTTATCAATATTGTATTTGAGTAGACACTGGCATCACACCTTCCTTTAACGCTTTAAACATGGTTTCCTTTAGTTCTTTGGACATATGCATAATAGCTGCTGGCCATTTACATTTGGGCCCCCTGAAAGGAAGTTTCTATTGCTTGCTTTTTTTTTTCTCCTGCGTACAGGTCACACTTCCCTGTTTCTTTGCATATCTCATATTTTGTTGTTGGAAATTGGAGTTTAGTTAATATAGTACATCAACCCTGGATACTGATCCTACTTTCTCCCCTACCCCAGACTTACTGTTATTTGTTTGCTTATTTTAATGACTTGGATGGACTAATTCATGAAGCTAATTTTAAACAACTTTTAAAACTTTAAGGCAACAAGTGTGAGTGTATTTCTCAACATTAGATTTTCCCTACTGGATTTTTCTGACAAAGAAATAGATTTTTATACTGTGGTATCAACAAAGCAGTTCCTTCTTGATCCTCTCTACTCACAGCCAACGATGGCTCATTAAAGCTATGCATAAGAAAAGTACATTTCAATTTTTATGATGTTTAAGTACTCAAACAAATGCGTAAGCTTCTCTACAGCTTACCTTGTAGGCACAACCATAGTAAAATTATGATAAATGCTATCCTCAAACAAAATTTTACCTATGATTTTTTTTGAGGAAAAAAATCCCACTTTATTATTTATAGTTCACTAGCTTTAAAAAAAAACTCTGAAATCTAAATATTTCCCGTTTGAATAAAATTCCCATTAGACTCTACACAGTAAAACAAAATCTTTTACACAAGCTTAAGATAAATTTAATTGAAGAAAAGTTTCATTACAGAAATTAGCAATGCTTATCATTCTTTAAACATCATAACATTATTAATATAACCTGTATGTTTCCAATCAGTTCCATTCTTAGGCTCAATTTTAAAAACACAATTGTAACAGATTTTATACAAAAAATACTTCACTAAGAAAGTAGACAAACTGCACAGAAACAGTACAAGTATAATGTGCATAGCAAGATAGCTTGAAGCATCTACATATGGCTTTTTTAAAAATAAAACTATTGGGGGGGTGGGCCCATTTGGGACCTACTTTTACAGTTGACATATGTAAACTGTTTCACATCTTTTAGGCACTTGCTAACAATAGTGTTCAATCCCTGAAAAATGAATTTACAGAAAAAAAAAATTCTCCATCTGAAATAAAAACCAAAAAAATAACATGGGTATAAGGTCTTACATATTCCTTTTAAATTAAACAACTAGTTTTATTAGTGCATGCACAAAGCTAAACTGAAAGAAAATAAACTTTTATGTCAAAAACTTTCTGTGCAAAATTTACATAACAAACTGAAGATATAAAAAATATGTACAGGTTTAAATTCTTCATTATATACAGAAAAGAAGCCCTGAAGTTTTAATTCAAATCAAAATGTCATAATACTTATAGTAACAATGTAACAAAAATCATATAGCAAAGTAACTTTGTAATACAAGAATGTCATTTTTCAATGATCCAGCAAAATCTGATCCAAACCTACGAAGTCAGAAGTTTAAATCTATGATTCTGTTGCTGTCATGAAAACGTCCATTTAACTCTCCCTGTTGAATATGTCCCTTAGGAATCTGTCCTGAAGTTTTCTGCACTGCCACTGCAACCACTGTTAATGCTTCCCCCACTTTCAACTGCCAACAATTAGTAAAAATCTGCTTTGTCATTCATACTGAAAAGTTGCTAATAAAATGGTTTGCTCCAATTTGGCCATATTCCCACACCAACAGTAATAAAATAAACAAAAATCTGATTTGTTTTGCTAATCCTGCTTCAAAAAAGTGTTTCTACAGAATAATTTTTAATTTTCAAGAAAAGCCTTTCCCTTGGAAGTGCTTCTACGTTCAACTCTTTTTAAAGGGACGGCAACCAAGAAAAAAATGGCCATTTGGTTTATGGGGGAGAAACAAATCAAATAAGCATAGTTCTTTGCAAGGGGATCACAAGAGAATATAATCAAATTCAGAGAAATGGTCTAAATAATTGGTTTCTAAACTAGACCGAGAGAGTTTAATTCTTCTCTCTAGGCTGCCAAGCTACTACAGTGCTTGACACAGCCATTTACAAAGAGTAAGAAAATCACCTAGGGAAGGTGTTCCTATCTCTGGCATGGAACATAGCTTAATAAGAAAAAAAGACTTAAGAAAATAATTTAAAAAGTTTTAGATTTACTTGCCAAAAACTCTTTTCAAGCATTATATGAGGTGTAATTGGAGTAAATTATATGTGCTCTCAAAGGAGCCTATATCCTTCAAAAGAACTCTTATTTACCAGATGTACTATAAACTCTTTCCCCAAGCTCTCTCAGTATACCTGCACAAATGAGAAACTCTCAGTTGCATGGTGAAAGAGCTCTCCACATTCAGAGGAGCTACACTAATCAGATTCATAAGGCTGGTGAAAGAGAGGGAATGGGGCTATCAGCTGTCACCCTCTACTAAGAGTCACAAAAATTTTTAATACAAATTGGGAAAATAAAACTGTTTTATAAAAGTTTTTTTAGCCCTAACCTCCCAAGAACACATTTTTTAAAAATCAAATCAAGGTACATCTGTGCTTAGTTTCTTTCAAAACTTGTGTGTGTACAGTGATACCATTACCAATTATCACACATAAAACTTTTGCTCTTCCACTGAAATATAACCAACTTTAAAAGTGTTTAATTTCAGGTCCTGTTTTGAAGTGGGAAATGTCTGCATTATGGTCATCCAACCTACTGTTTTCTTCTAATATAGTTTTACTTTTCTTTTCCTTGTAATTACGGTAAATTATTGTAACATATTCCAATCCCGAGTAGCTTCCACTAAATGTCTCTGCCCATGCCCGGCCCAAGCATCCTGATTGTCAAACACTCGACCACAAAACCAACAGTTAAACTTAGCCTTCAGAACACTTTCAGAGGTAGTTTTCACAATTTGATAATTGTTTTTGCTTGTCTTTTTGAGTGTTAATTTTAGCACAAATCTTTCTTTCACCGAACTAACAGGTTTAAATGTTTTGTGTCTCTTGGAAAATTCATCGTAAGTTGTTTTAGAAGGGTTCCAACAAACTGGTTTCAGTAAGGCATTCACAGTTCTTTTTGACAATGAAACCTTAAGTACACGTCCATTAAATTTAGCAATGGTTTTCATTACATTTACAACTTCCGGTACATCTGCATCAGGATGATTCAAAACTACAACTGGTTGATTTCTCCTAGGACATTTCACAAGCTGTTTGGAACTAAAGGGGAAAAGCCTCAAAGTTCTAACTGTATCTTTTGAAAACCTAGGTTCAAACGTTTCATGGGAATTTTCAGGGTTAGCCTTTTCTTTACACTTTCTATGCAATGTTGCTTTTTTTCTAGGTGGTTCTTGGTAACTATTCCTACATTTTCGCTTACAGTTTCTGTCTCTAGTTGCAAAGGCAGTTTCAAAATCTTTACTTCCTACATGAGCTTTTATTCTTGAAAATTTTCTTTTGGAAGCTTTTTTTCTATTGAAGCTTCTCTCATTTGTACAATCCGTTTTAGACCTTAAAACCCTGGCATCTGAACAGTTGGTGATACATACTGGCTCCTCAGGAGATTCTGGGCATGCTGCCGTAGAAGTTATCACAATTTCATTTGCTGGCATCAAATCATCTAATAAGACAGGTAAGGCATCTCTGGAAGACTCTGGCTCTTTCTGCTGTCCTTCCACAGGCTGATTAGATGGTACCTCAGCTTTTTGCAATAAAGATGCAGAGTGGCTTACTGGCAGATTACTAGCAGCAGTCACATTTAAAACAGGGTTAAAAACTTTCAGTAGTATTTTTTGTGGTGTTCCTTCAGGTTTCTTTGGCTGTATATTTTGATGATAAGTACTATTTTGGACTACTTTAGGCTTAAGCAGGTCAGTTTTATTTGGCATCACACACTTTAAAAAAACAGCTTGTTTGCCATCAGGCAAGAGGGTATAAAGAGGTGGTTTTGGAAAAACCTCATTCGGCTGTTTTACTGAATCCAAGATATTCAACTTAGTGCCCTGATGCTCAGATAGCACAGGAGTAGGAACAGTTTTCACTGAAGAATTTGCTGATGTTTTAATAACATAAGGGCCTTTTAATGACAAAGTATTTTCTGAGCTATTTTTCATGCTCAAACAACTGCCAACGCTGGAACAAAGTGTCGGTGTCAGACAATTATTACTTGGCTCTACCTTTAAAAAAGGTGTTCTGCAAGGCTCCTTAGTCGTAACTCCACCACAAGATTGAGCATTCTCAATTTTGACACTGGAAACATCTTCAAGTTTCCCATTATTAAAAGTTAAAATCATCCCAGGTTTCTTGTTTAAAAGAAGAGAAGCGGGTACACTTTGTGTGTTAACCAGTGAAAGTGGTCTTCCTGAAACGTGTAATCCAGGCTTGTTAGCAATGTGCAATGGTACAAAAAGGCCTTTTGGAGTCTGAACAAATATAGCTTTTTTTTGCTCTGAATTTAGAAGTGGACTCTGTATACATAAAGAATTTAAATTTTGTGTAGTGGCTCGTAATTTGTCTTTTACAAGCTGCTGTGTTATTATTGCATCTGACTGAGTCTTAAGTAATGTGCCAATTCCTGAAATTCTAGGTGTCTTCTCTGAATCTCTCACATTTTGTGACATTGATAGCACCTGTTTTCCATTACATTTTAAATTCAGATCATTTGTAAGCTCACTAACACCTACACTGCCAGATGGAATTGGGAAGATGCCTTGCATTTTCAAGTCTCTTGAGGATTCAACTCTTTTGCCCTCTCCCTCATGTTTCCGAAATGACTGGTCAGCATGGAGTGGCAGGCCTTTACTTGGAGTGTTATGAGAGTCTTGTTTTACATCAGATTTTGTATTTAATACATCTTGAAGTAACTGGTTCACTTCAGGTGGCAAAAATTCCGAAGCCTGTTGGCTCTGGAGAGAGAAAACAGACGTGATTCTAGGCATCATAGGTGAATCAACACTAGAAAAGCTATCCCATTTAGGTTTTTCAGTCACACTCTCTAAATTTTGATTTTCATTAGTGTACAGGTTATGTCCATCAATGTTGTGGCCTCTTCCTAAGTCACACGGTTCTTCAATTTCAGCCTGCGTTTTTATAGTTCCATATTTAGGATTTAAAAGGCTAATAGATGCTAACAGACTATCTGGATTTGAGCTTTCCTTCTTCACTAGTGATAAAACTGATTCACTTATTGGTTGTTGAACCATCATTTTGTTTGATGAAGATTCTCTTTGAGGATTTTCATACACTGCTGTTCCTGAAAACCTACGATGTTTATTAGAATTATTCATTTTTGAGTAATTATGAAAAGGTAATGATCCTTGGTTGGAGGATTCAACAGGTAACTCAGAGTTGACATAATTAATGCAATAGTTATGCATATCTCCACTGTTGTATGCATTTGGTTTGACAGTATAGTTGACTTTATCTGGACTTTTAATGGTGGTACCTAATACCTGAGGGTGACTCTGAGTAATATGATTTCCCCGTAAGTCAACATTATCTCTGGTTTCAACTTTTGTGGTCAAATTCACTGATGCTGTAACAAATTCCGATGGTGTTGGCAAAAAAGACACACTTTTTTCATTATTCACTGTCTGAAGCATATTATTCATTTGAGATATCAAAGCCATTTCCTTTTCTGAAGTTACTTTCCCTGAAAGTATAGGAGATGAACATGAAAATGGAGTAGCTGTTTTCATGTAAACTGTGTCATTTAACTCAGCTGCTACTCCTGCAGATAAAAATCCAGTGGTGTCCAAAGTCTGGGGCTGCAAATTAGCAGTACTGTCCTTAGAAGCACCTGACTGTAAGCCTGGTGAATATAAATTTTGTTTATTGGCAGGCAACAATTTTATTACAATATGTTGTTTTCCATCCACCATCTTGAAGCCCATAAACTTAGCGCTGTAGTTAGCAGGAATTGTTATTTTATTATTTTTCACCATTAATACTGTAGGTCCTTGTACAGAAGAAGTCTTCAAGGAACCTGAAGTAGAATTCAATCCCTCTTCAGCTCTATTACATTGTCCAGTAGACAGAAGAGTGGACTTTTCTGACTGTAACTCAGTGGGTTTATCACTCTTCTCACAGTGTACTCTTTCATCCTTTTTTTCATTTAAATGTTCTTGAACAAGACAGCTCTGGTCTTTAGATTTAGTCTGCGTTTTGTTCGTTTTTTTAATTACCTGTGTATTTTTTTCTATACTTCTGTCACTTCCATTGCTAATTTTCTTACGTTTCCAGAATGTCTTCCTTGACGCACCTATTTTGTATCTTTTCAGTATTAGCTTAAGACCTGCTGAAGTTTTCCCCATCCTTTTTTCATATTTGTCTTTTTCCAGTTTTTCTTTTGCATATAAATGTTCTTTGTGCAAAGTTATAACATGCCTTATAAGGTACTCTCTCCTGGTGGCACCATAACTACAATACTGACAAGTGAAGGGAAATGTACCAGAATGAACATTAAGGTGCTTCTGAAGCTCTCCTTTGGAAAAACATACATGATGGCATTTACCACATTTATAATGAATTTCATTATGTCTATGAATGTGCTGAACAAATGTGCCAACATCCTGGGTGGAAAATTTGCACCTTTCACACTGAAAATTACCATTAATGCAATGTGTGGATGTGAAATGCTTTGTCAAATCTAATAAAGTATATACATTCTCATTGTTACAAATGACACATTTTACTAAAGTGCTTTTATGGGTGCGTCTGTGTTGTTTAAATACCTGGAAGTCATTTGCTGAAAAACTGCACATTTCACAAGGATAGGAAGGTAATTCACCACGGTGCCACATTTGAAAGTGTTTCTGCAAATCATTTGGGCTATATCGAGTGTTGTCTCGGCATTTTGAACAGTTAAAATTGAGTATTTTTGCAGACATTTTTATACCCTCTTCTTCAGTTATCTCAGATTTATGGAGCAACATACACTCTTCAACACAGCTTACGGTCTTTATACTAATAGATTTTCTTGCAGTCTGTGGTTTACTCTGAAATAATTTTCTGTATTTGTCAACTTCATGTTTCAGTAGGACTCCATTTGGAATATTTATCTTCGGCAAATCAATTTTCACATTTCTTAGTTCATAATGACAACTACTTTCTGAAATACTTGGTTTAGGTATTAATCTGATAGTATCAACAATCTCATTTTTCACATCATTATCTTTTTGTAAAGTAGTACGTTTTTCATCACAAAACAACTGTTTCTGTTCAGATGGCATGATTTAACAAAAAAAAAATCCCAATTTTTTTTTTTCCTGAAAAACTCTTGAAGTTATTTGAAATTTAAACAGGAAACAATACTGTGTTGAGACATCTTCAAAATACCAGGATTTTTCCCACATTAACTCACCTAAAATTAAACAAAAAATTGAAATTTTCATCACAAAAGTATCAGTAAATTAAGTACCTTTAAGCTCATCTGACACAAAGTAGGCTGCTAATCAAACACATAAATAAAAGATACAAAAGACTTGTTAAGTATTTTATGAGGAGCTTGTCAAAAAGTATTAGCTTGAAGTAAAAATAATAACCTGGGAGTCAAGAAATGCAAACTCTACTTCCAACTCGGCTCTGTGATTTTGGGCAAGTTTCAATTTCTCTGTGCCTCAAGAGTATCAGACTTGGATAAGCGCACCCAAGCTCTAAGAATTTTATATAAAATTGATACTACAATTTTTTAACAGGATTTTTAAAATGTTAGCAAGGCAGCCCTAAAAACCTAAACACATATGGTTTACCCATGTACCACTAACTGACTTTCTCATTTGCTTAGGTGATCCTATAGCTATTTTCAAGAATCCCAACAGACTTTCATTCAGATTTTCTACCTCCTTAGTGCCTCAGGGATAAGTTACATTAAAAATAAAAATTTCATTTATCTTATAACAAACAAAAAGACAGTACCTGCTCTCAGCAAGTTATCATTGCTAACTGGGGAAAAAAGAAGAAAAAAAAGAAGAAATAATAGCACATCTCCTTGGGTTGAACCCAAAGTCTACATACTACCTTTCTGGTTCTCTACCATTTTGGCTATTTGGTTTTCCTGTCCCTAGAAATTGAAGCAAGGAAAAGGCCATGACAGATTGGATTATACCCATTACTATCTGTCTCCATTAATTTAAGCACTTACTGGCTGTGTTACTTCAGACAAGTCTCAATCTCTGTTTTAGTTTCTTCATCTGTAAAATGGAAAAAAAAAAAAAATTAGTGCTTATCCTATCTTTTTCACAGGTTATTGTGAGGATTAAATGAGAAAACATATGTAGAGATATCCTATAAAGTGCCCTATAAATCATAGCTATTGTTATTAATTACTGTGTGTGACTACTGTACATGAGACTTTATCATTTTAATTGCAGAGAAATAAAAAATAGTAAAGTAATAAGATAAGACAATATATTGCTGAGACTGGAATCTGAGTACTGAGGGTGCAATAGTAAAAAAAAACCTGCATATTAGAAGAACTGCATTTTCTTATTTTCATGCTCTTAAGTATGTATATGAATAATAAGTAAAATCAGATAAGCTAAAGAAAATAAAAGTATAAATCATGTTAAGCTCCATCCATAATGTTGGTTGGCACTTGTACCCTCAAACGTCTCAGCTTTAAATTTCAACTAATCTAAATACCTAGGAACTTCACTGTTTTAGAAATCTATAAAGTTTCCTATTACTAAGGGAATACAATTTTAAGTTAAATTACTTTATACTGAGATGTCTAATGGGAGGAACAACTCAGAAAAGGAGAGTGAGAATGGTTAACAACTCAAAAAATGTAATCAATGTCACTAAATGGTACACGCAGAAACTATTGAACTGGTGTATATTTTGCTGAGTATATTCTCAACAAAATTAAAAAAAAATTTTTTTAAAAAGTCTAACATTTCTCAAACTTAATCCTTTTGTCTAGGTCTAAGAAATACACTCTTCACATATATATGTAATCGCTAAATGCCAAACTGATAATTAATTAGAAGCCTTTCTGTTACTACTTATAATCAAAGACTATACAATGGGTTTCATTAAAAAGGGCAATTTGCTTCTTACTCAATTTTTTCACATACTATTTTTTAACAGTAAAATGTTAAAAATTTTACTTCAAATTTTTTACTATATTACTTACAACTAAATGTAAAAACTTTTCCTTCAAAAGTAGTAAAAATAAGAAGTGACTAGAAAAAAGTTCAATGATTCCTGGTGGATACTCTACAACAGTTGAGAAGATTCCCTGGAGGGTGATTTCTCAACAGTAAAAAGCCTCAATCACCTATGGAGCTTTCTACCGCATCAGAAGCTTAGAGTGGGGCTCAAGCATGTGAGACTTTTTAAGCATACCTAATAATGGTTCTCCTCCATTTGCCAGAATACCATATTGTGGTCATTCTGGACTATCCATACCCAAGCCTTCCTGTTACTACATATAATCAAGAGACTACATAATGGGTTTCATTAAAAAGGGCAATTTGCTTCTTACAGTAATACTGCCTATGCCCAAAAATATACTCCTGTAATACTAGAAAATTACAGATTGTGATATTTTTAAGTATCATCAATCTCAATTCAAAACATGTACACAATTAAAATTTTCCTTATGAAATAACACATACCCCAAAGTCTGATATCCAGTATAAAAATATGATTTTAAAATAACTGCATCAACTAACAATTAACTACTAAATACCTACTATGTATGCAAAGTATTTTGATAGGAGATCTGTTGTTGTTAGATGCCCTTGAGTCAGTTCTGACTCATAGCAACCCTACGTACAACAGAACAAAACACTGCCCGGTCCTCTGCCATCCTCCCAATTGTTGTTATGCTGGAGCCCACTGGTGCAGCCACTGTGTCAATCCTTCTTGTTGAAAGTCTTCCTCTTTTTTGCTGACCCTCTATTTTACCAAGCATGATGTCCTTCTCCAGGGACTGATGCCTCCCGATAACATGTACAAAGTATGGTGAGACAAAGCCTCGTCATTCTTGCTTCTAAGGTGCATTCTGGTTATACTTCTTCCAAGACAGATTTGTTCGTTCTTCTGGCAGTCCATGATATATTCAATATTCTTGCCAACATCACAACTCAAAGGCATCAATTCTTCTTCGGTCTTCCTTACTCACTGCTCAGTTTTTGCATGCATTGTGAGGCAACTGAAAACACCATGGCTTGGGTCAGGCACACCTTAGTCTTCAAGGTGACATCTTTGCTTTTTAACACTTTAAAGAGGTCTTTTGAAGCAGATCTGCCCAGTGCAATGTATCTTTTGATTTCCTGACTGCTGCCTCCATGGGTGCTGATTGTGAATCCAAGTAAAATGAAATCTTTGACAACTTCAATCTTTTCTACATTTATCACGATGCTGCTTACTGGTCCAGTTGTGAGCATTTTTGTTTTCTTTATGTTGAGGTGTAATCCATACTGGAGGCTGTGGTCTTTGATCTTCATCAGTAAGTGCTTCAAGTTCTCTTCACTTTCAGCAAGCAAGGTTGTGTCATCTGCATATCGAAGGTTGTTAATGAGTCTTCCTCCAATCCTGATGCCTCATTCTTCTTCATATAGTCCAGCTTCTCAGATTATCTGCTCAGCATACAGACTAAGTATGGTAAAAGTATACAACCCTGACATACACCTTTCCTGTCTTTAAACCACGCAGTATCTCCTTGTTCTGCTGGAATGACTGCCTTTTCGTCTAAGTACAGGTTCCTCATGAGCACAATTAAGAGTTCTGGAATTCCCATTCTTCCCAATGTTATCTGTAACTTTTTATGCTCCACACAGTTGAATGCCTTTGCACAGTCAATAAAACACAGGTAAACATCTTTCTTGTATTCTCTGCTTTCAGCCAGGATCCATCTGACATCAGAAATGATATCCCTTGTTCCACATCCTCTTCTAAATCCAGCTTGAATTTCTGGCAGTTCCCTGTCAATATACTGCTGCAGCCGCTCTGAATGATCTTCAGCAAGATTTTACTTGCATGTGATATTAACGATATTGTTTGATAATTTCCACTTTTGGGATCACCTTTCTTGGGAATAATAAATATGGATCTCTTCCAGTTGGTTGGCCAGGTAGCTGTCTTCCAAATTTCTTGGCATAGATCAGTGAGCATTTCCAGCGCTGCATCCATTTTCTGAAATATCTCAGTTGGTATTCTGTCAATTCCTGGAGACTTGTTTTTCACCACTGTCTTCAGTACAGCTTGGACTTCTTCCTTCAGTACCATCAGTTCCTGATCATACGCTACCTTCTAAAATGGGTGAACATCGACCAATTCTTTTTGGTACAGTGACTCTGTGTATTCTTTCCATCTTCTTTTGATGCTTCCTGCATCGTTTAATATTTCCCCCATAGAATCTCTCAATATGCGACTCAAGGCTTGAATTTTTTGTTCAGTTCTTTCAGCCTGAGAAATGCCGAGCGTGTTCTTCCGTTTTGGTTTTCTATCTTCAGGTCTTTGCACAGGTCATTATAATACTTTACTCTGTCTTCTTGAGCCGCCCTCTGAAATCTTCTATTGAGCTCTTTTATGTGATCATTTCTTCCTTGCGCTCTAGCTACTCAACGTTCAAGAGCAAGTTTCAGAGTCTCTTCTGACATCCATTTTGGTCTTTTCTTTCCTTCCTGTCTTTATTTTCATGATCTCTTGCTTTCTTCATGTATAATGTTCTTGATGTCATTCCACAACTCTTCTGGTCTTCAGTCATTAGTGTTCCATGCATTAAATCTATTCTTGAGATGGTCTCTAAATTCAGGTGGGATATATTCAAGGTCGTATTTTGGCTCTCCTGGACTTTTTAAAATTTTATTCAGTTTCAACTTGAACCTGCAGTGAGCAACTGATGGTCTGTTCCACAGTAGGCCCCTGGCCTTGTACTGGCTGATGGTGTCGAGCTTTTCCATCATCTCTCTCTACTATATAATCAATTTGATTCCTGTGTATTCCATCTGGCAAGGTTCACGTGTATAGTTGCCATTTATGTTGCTGAAAAGGTATCTGCATACCAGTGGCATAGCTTCCAGCATCACAGCAACATGCAAGCCCCCACAGTGTGACAAACTGGCAGACGCGTGGGGGATGGGAGCTCTAGGGAGATTCAAAAACATGGTTATGGTCCCTATCCTTCCTTATGCAATTTACAATCTAAGGGACAAGACAGATCATATACACTAATACTTTACTTAGTCACTGTTGATCATCCAGCAACCTCATCCTTCCAGTATACACCCAAAGAATAGAAAATTATTAAGCAGGATGCCTGGCAGCAAAAACAGATCCCACAAAGTTCACCCATTAAAGTACATGCCTGCACACTCTCATGCATTGTTTACACTTATTTAAATACAATTAAGATGAATTTGCTTTGGTTTCACAGTCCTCAGCAAATGGGTTTGTTATGTGCTTTCAAATTTTAAGTTTGTCTGAACAATCTATTTTCTCTTCCTTCAACTATGTTCAACCTGTAGAAGTGGGAGTAATCAAAGATGATACCTAACAGCAAATTAACTAGAATTGCCACCTACAGACAAAAAAATTTTGCATGTTGTGAACATATCAGATAACATAAAAGAAAATTTTATTATAATTTAAATTTCTAACCAATTAGCTAATGCATTTTTTGTTTTGTTTTGTTTTAAACTATAGTTCAATCTCTACCCTACCAACAAGGATTACTGGTTTTAAACCTGCTATTTAAACTACTGCCTTACATACTAGTATTATTACCTCATAAGACTTAACCAACATTTCAAGTCTTGAAATAAACAATACTATTTGTATGAATAAGCCCTGGGGGGACAGTGGTTAAGTTCTCGGCTGCTAACCAAAAGGTCAGTGGTTTGAACCCACTAGCCTGCTCGCAGAAGAAAGATGTGGCAGTCTGCTCCTGTAAAGATTTACAGCCTTGGAAACCCTACAGGGCAGTTCTGCTTTGTCCTATAGGGTCACTGAGTCAGAATCAACTCCACGACAGTGGGTTTTGGTTTATTTGTATGAAACATGACTGGTCTTTAAGGTAAACTGGAGAGCTTCCAGCATCAAGATAGCAACTTAAGTCATTTGATTTCCTCCATCTCCAAATTACCCACTAAAATGACCAAGAAAATCCAATAAAGAAAATGCCACAAAACGGCCAGAAACCACAGAGACATGCCATACACATACCGCAAGGTGATTTTGTAAGAAATAGTTCAAGGAGAGAAGGGGGAAACCAAATGCTGATCTACTGTCAACTACCACTTTTAAGAAGAAAGTCCACTAGGGGACATTCCCATTGCTGTGGAGTTGATTTCCACTCATAGCAACCCTACAAGACACAGCAGAACTGTCTCACTGGGTTTCCAAGGCTATAAATCTTTACAGAAGCAGACTGCCACATCTTGCTTCCATGGAGCAGCTGCTGGGTTCAAACTGCTGACCATTCAGTTAGCAGCCCAGTGCTTAACCACTGTACCAGCAAGGCTCTCTGGGGGACATTTATTCAACCAGTATTTAATGAACTAGTATGTCTCAAGTAATGAAGGGAGTGTCATAATTCTGCCCACTCTACCCCCATACCTCCAATTCCCCTGAGCATACCTTGGAGATAAAGTGAGGGCTTGAGAAGGAGACCAGCAGAGCTCTCTGAATGACAGAGCTCAGGGTGAGGTATGAGAAAGGGAATGAATCCAGAGTCTCAGACTAGGTCCAGAGGCCAGGTAGTGTAGGAGATTGCTAGCACCAGCTGTCAAGAGAGATGTAAAGAAGAAATTATTCCTGGACTAAGATGAAATTTCCTACACTAATGGCTATTTTCTTCTGCTTAACAGTTTTGTCCTTCCTTTGTCTAAGTAAATCATTATCAGAAAAGTTGTCTGGAAAAAATTACATTAACTCTGAACCTTCCCTCCTAACTTAAAACACTGAGAAAATCTTGGTTTATTCTCTAAGAACTCATCTCAACTACCAATGCCACCAATACAGACAAGTGGGCAAAAACATCACTGAATGCAGCAGCTCAAAAAAGGCAAAACAACCTGGGCACTCAGAGGAGCCTCTTCCCCGCTCCCCCTTCCACTCAGAGGAGACTCTTTCAGCTCCTCCTTCTGAAAAACACTAACTGCAATGAGAGACAGTTACTGAAAAGAAAACTTAAAAAAAAAAAAGCATTTGCAACCTCAGTGAGACCTGAAATATAATATTAAAAAAAATAAGAGCTTAATGTCTTGAAAGAGACAACAAAGTAGATGGGGGGGATTAACTGATTTTAAAAACAAGAGAATAAATTACACAGTTTTTAAAAAAAGACTTGAATTTTCAAAATGAAAATCTTTAAATGCCAAGCAAGATTATTAGTGGGAGAAGAAAATAAAAATCAAGATAGAAACTTCTCTTAGTAAAATATTTAAAAGAGAAAATCAAATGGTACAAAAAAAAGCAGAGAGGGAGAATTAACTAAAAAGATAGTCTATTTTTCATCAGCAACATCAACTGATATCAGATATTTTGTTCACAACTCTAAATGTGAGAAGACAATAAACATTTACAGTTATGAGGAAAAAGGATTAAAGGATTACTCCAAGAATTAATTCTATACACAAGAAACATCTCATTCATATGTGAAGGAAAACACAATTTTTAGATATGTAAGGATTCAGAAAATATATTACATATTTACTCTTTGGGTGAGGAGTGGGGGAAGGTTTAAGTAAATACTTCAGCAAAACCAGATTTCAATCAGATAAAAAGAACTCAAGAAAGGGAATAATGTGATACAAAAGAAATAAGTGTGGACAATAAAATCTACAAAACAGAAATAAATGTAAATATTAATACAATTAAGAAAGTGGAAAAGACTGGAGAAGTGGAAAAAATGCAGTGCGACAAATATATAAAGAAGGTCTTACAAGCAGCATCTTTTAAACCTGAGTACACAACACTTAAGTGAGCCTGGACTAATTCTTATCTGACTTGTGTTGATATAAGCTGATGACGGGTCTGTTCTTCCTCCATGTCCTTATGTATGGATCAGCTGAGGTCATGGTAAGCTTAGAAACCAAAGTTACAGAGCAGCCTACTCCTCTGCCAGACATCCAATATTTGGTTTACACAATAACCTTGCCAGATTTTCTGATAATGGTGAACCCTAAAGTTCCTAGGATTCACTCATGACTTTACACACTGACTTACTCAAAAGGGGCTGTGGTAAATTATCAGAGAAGCTAAGCTAGACTTTGGCCCAGATTCACCCTAACTTCTCCTAGGAGCCTTCATCTAATAGTAACACTGTTCCCCTTTCCCTGCATAGCTAGACTTAAGTTTGCTACTCAAATTTTCAAAACTAAATAATATGGTGTTTAGAGTCATGAAAACAGCAGAAGTTAGAATGGTTGTTTCACATGGGTTGGGAGGAGATGGATATGACCACAGAGAACACACTGAGGCTGCAAAGAAGGGGATTCTGCTTCGTAACTTAGATAGTAGGTATACAGGTATGTTTTATCATATTGTCTTTAAAACACAAATATATATTTTATAACTTGTGTATAAACACATTTACAGGTAAAGGACACAAACAAGAAACTTACAGAGAAATACGAGTGAAAATATGCCCACCAGAATTCAAAGATACCAAATTAAAATAATGAGAAAACAACTTCTGCCAATCAGACTGTAAAAGATGTTACATATTTCTAATACTCAGTGTGGGTCAGATTTTGAGGAAGTAAGAGGCACTACGACATAATAATAATGGGAATATAAATTGGCACAACTTTATAAAAAACAGTCTATAATATATATATACAGGAAGCCTGGAATTCACTAATAATCAAAAAGATCTTCACTGTAGCACTGTTTATAAAATCTCAAAATTAAAAATAACTAAACGTCCATCCACAAACAAGTAATAATTAAATGATTAATGGTAATTTCGTTTAATGGAATATTACCCAATTTTTAAAATATTGTTAAAAAACAATCTATATCTCTGAATCTGAATATATATAAATATCCCACATTTATTAACATGAAGTTATCCAAGATACATTAAGGGAAAAAAGCAGGGAATTACCAGTATGTATGCAGTTTTGTCATACAAACTAAAAGTTGCATCTATTTATTACAGAAAGCAGATGGTATTTAATAATCTGTTTCCTGATTCTGGTACATTGTTAATAGTAAAAATTAATCAAATATCAACAGAACAGAGAGACAGATGCACACAAACTCAGAGTTAAAAAGCCAATAACACACACATCTACTGTGATTATCGGTTATCATTAGGTGTTTCTTAAAAGGTTGTCCTTGGGTCACCATGGTCTCTACACTGACACACTTCCTTATCACAGCACAAACAGCTTACATCTGGATGTTATAAAACTTCATCAAAAAGTGGCATGATGTCATCAAAATTCTGAAATTCTTAAACAAAGAAAGTGACTTCTGTGGTAAACCAACTCAGTATTTCCTGAACAATTTCAAAATAATCTTCTTGATGCCAGTACAAATTGATAAATATTGGCACTCAAGGTGGAGAAGAGATTAAAATACAGATATCATTCAACATTGCACTCCTTGTATCAACACATAGGTAGCAATCATACCACTGCAAACAAGACCGTAAAACCAGCCACAAAGCTGACAACAAATACTGTGTAACACTCCAAGAAAAAAAAATTATGCTACTGGATGTCAACATGCTATATAAATCCATGCTATAAGAGAAGTAATTTTTGTAAGAGAAGTAATTTTTTGTTTGTTTATTTAACAGTTAATTTGTGAATCATGAGATTAACTAGAAAGTAAGAGATTGGAGCTGGCACCATCGGAAGAGCAGCTATGTATGCAGTGTTGTTACACAAATTAAAAGTTCCATCTATTTTATACAGAAAACAGATGGTATTTAACTAATAATCTGTTTCCTGACCTCAGTACATTGTTAAAAGAAACAATAAATATTGTAAGATCAATCAAATTTTGACTGTGTGTGTATATATACTAATGCACACACATTTTATATGCTATACAAAGAAAGGAACACCAAGTATAATGTTGAACTATTCATGCGTTATTTAAGCAAAAAGTGACCGTGTACTGTTCTTTTAATAAAGTGCTGGATTTTATCTGATAAATTTTACTTAGTTTTTTTTTTTGATGCTATTTTTAACAGCTTTGGTATTAGCATTACGGAAAATTTGTAAAACAAACTGCAGGACTTTCCATCATTTCACCTGCTCTGGAATAATTCACTCAACATGAGAATTACCCACTCCTTAAAATTACATACATTGTACCAATAACACCATATGGCCCCAGTACCTCTTCAGATTTTAGACTTTATAACCTTTCCAAGTTCTACAGTTTCTAGTCGCTTCAGGTTTTCTACTGCTTGAGTCACTTTTGGGAAATTATACTTTTCCTTGAAAATAATGTTTCCTTCACATTTTCAAAGTACATTTCCATAAATCTCACTTTTAAGGATCGATTCTACAGAAAAGCCAGACTACGGCCTACAGAAATAAAAGTACAACATAAAACTATACATGTCAGTGAAGTCACTTCCAAGATTCACTGTTCAGCCGGGGACTGCACAGCCCCACAAAACAAAATGGGACTAATGAGGCACAGCAGTCCAGGGACAAGGACTAGAAGGCAGAAGGGGACAGGAAAGCTGCTGATAGGGAACCCAAGGTTGAGTAAGGACAGTGTTGACATGTACTGGGGCTGTTAACCATTGTCATAGGGTAACGTGTACTGTTTAATGAGAAACTATTCTGTTCTGTAAACCTGCATCTGAAGTGAGAATAGCAGCACAACTGGAAGAACATAATCGATGCCAATGAACTGTGCATGTAGAAATTCTTGAAATGGTGTATCTTTGGCTATGTATATTTTCACCAAAAAAAAAAAAAAATGGTCGAGAAGGGAGAGGGTTGACATGTCATGGAGCTGTTAACCAATGTCATAAAACAATATGTGTACTGACTGTTTAACGAGAAACTAGCTGTTCTGTAAATCTTCACTTGAAGTACAATTAAAAAAAAAAAAAGGAAAAGAAAATATATACGTGTTAGTATCATATAAATGTCTGTAAGTAGAAAATGACTAAATAAATAACGGAACATTCATACGAAAACATTATAAAGTAAGAGGCTTAAGTATTGAATTGATTTAGACATTTATTGTGGATGATTTAAAAAATATGTTAGAAAAAAGAAGTTGCAGATTAAGGTTTCTAAGACATTTTTATATTAGACGGAAACAGCCTCATTTTAATGTTATTTTATGTTAGGAGGAAAGATCCCATGAATGTGTTATATAAACACAGACAAATCTATCAGATACCCTCCAAACTACTGACAACAAATTAATTTTTTTAAAGAAATGACAGCACAGCACTGCTAAAAACCAACCAACCAACCAAGACAACAACAGGGAGAGAATTATCAGCTCTCCTAAGTACCATGACTGAAACCCAGAGGGCCATGTCAGCACCATAAGCTTTTACTGAGGCCTGCCTGCAGTCCTGCCCTTGAGTTCTAGGAAATCCTTGTATCCTCAAAAACATTGTCCCTTTTCATACAAAAGCAATATTTTAGAAATAGTATTAGAATTGCAGTAGAATGCAAGCTAAACTGGAAAAAGTAAGTAAAAATAGAAGTGAGAAAATGAGAGGACTACAATGGCAATCCAAATAAAGAGTGGGGAATGTATCACGATGCTCCTCTGCTTAAAACTCCTTAGCAGCTTCCCGTGGAACTTAAAATTTAACCTCTTTACAAAGGCTTGCAAAGAACAATGACATCTGGTTCTGGGCCTCTCTGTTCAACTTCATGCCACACCTCTCCCCATCTGTAAATATACTCTAGCACCGCGCCATCGTCACAGTTCCTCAAAAACTCCTATTTCAGGCCTTCGCACCTGCTGTTCCCCTGCTTGAAATGTTCACTCTTCCACTCTTCAAATGGCTAGATCCTTTTCATCTTTTAGGTCTCAGGTCAAATATCAACACCTCAGAAAGGCCTTCCCCAACCTAAAAATCATCCTGTCCTAAAAAAAAAAAAGAAAAAAGTATTCTCTATTTCAGCCATCCGTATTTCTTTGGTAACACTTTTATCTCTAGAAATAAATTTATTTATTTGTCAATTTATTTTCTATCAGTCTCAGCCACTGAAATATAAGCTGCGTAAGTATATGGATTACATCTGTCATGTTTTGTTGTTTTATCACTAGCATTTGCCACAGTGCTGAGCTTACAGTCAGCACCAAAGCTGGGTCAGTCTCTGTTCTAAGCACTGGGAATATAGCACTGAATGAAAAAGACAAAAATCTCTCCCTTCAGGGGCTAACATTCTATTGGTTACTTAGACAATAAACAAAATAAGTAAATGACATAATATATTCAAAGGTGACAAGTGCTGCAGAGAAAAATAAAGCAGGGCAGGACAGGCAGAACGAGGGGGTTGCAATTTTAAATACAAAGTCAGGGAGGCCTCATTGAAAAGGTCGTATTTCAGCCAAGATCTTGAGTTGAGGGAGCCAGTATTCCAAGAAAAGAAACAGTAGGTTCTAAGACCCTGGGTGTGGAGTATGTCTAATATGTTTGGGGCATCGCAAGGAGGTCGATATGACTGGAACACAGAATGAGATGGAGACCAGCAAGAGATGCAGTCAAAATAACAGAGGGACAGCTCGTGCAGGGCCTGATGGCCACTGTAAGACTTTTATTCCAAATGAGATGGGAAGCTACTGGAGCATTCTGGAGAGAGAGGTAACATGAGCTGAATTACTTTTTAAGAAGATCACTTTGGCTGCTATGTTAGGAACAGAGTATTTAAGTGGAAAGTAAGGATGGAAGCAGGGAGACCAGTTCAAAAGTTATTACATGACAATAATCCAGGTAAGCAATGATGGAGGCTTGGTGGAGACAATAAGGTATGATTAGACTCTGGATACATTTTGAAGATAGAGCCTACAGGATTTGCTGACAGATAGAATGTGCTATGAGAGAAAAGAAAAGTATCAAAGATAACAAAGTTCTGACCTTAGCAACTGGAAGAACTGAGTTGCCATTTACTGAAATATATAAGACTGTGTAGGAGTAGTAGGTTTGTCACTGTAGGATACAATGAGTCCAGGATACCAAGAGTCCAGTTTTAGCCATGGAAAATTGGAGACGTCTATTCAACTCAATGGCAACAGGTTTGGTTTTGGGTTTTATTCAATGTTCAAGTGGCAATGTGGAATGTGTAGGCAGAAGATAAAATTTTGGGAGTCATTTGTGTGTGTGTGTGTGTGTGTACACATACACACTTACCTATATGATAAACAAAGTGATGAGAATGGATGAAATCACCATGGGAGAACACATAAAGAGAGAAGCCCAAGGCCCAAGTCCTGATGTTTAGAGGAAAGAGAGATGAGAAAGAGCCTACTATACTGAAAAGAACAACCAGTGAGATTGAAGTTAAATCAGGAGTATGACATCCTGAAAACAAAGTGAAGAAAGTATGTCCAGAATGAGGGACCAATCAACTCTGTCAAGTAAAAGGAGGACTGAGAACTGACCACTGGACTTAATGTCAAGATCACCAGTGACGTTAATTAGAAGCTTCAATGGAGTTATGAAGGAAAAAACCTCACTAGCATGGGTTTAAGAGAAGATGGGAAGAGAAGTAGAGATGTAATATAAACAACTCTTCCGAGACTCTTACTGTAAAGGGGCAAGAGGTAGAGGAGTGGAAGTGGGTTTTAGTTGTTTTTTAACAGTAGGAGAAATTACAGTATGACTGCATGTTTACTGAAATGACCTAGTAAAAATGCAAAAAATTGATGATAAGAGAAAGAAATGCAGGAACAATGCCCTTCACTAGATGAGAAGGGATGGGATCTAGTGAACAACCGGAAGAGATGACTTTAGAAAGAAGCAAGGTAACTACAGTAACTACAGGGAAGGATAAGATGCTTGCAGGTGGGGAGATATGATTGTGAGAGCTTGTAGAATAAAATGCCTCGTTAAGTCTAAGATAGAGGTTGGCTAACTATGAACTGTGGGCTAAATCTGATCCCAACTGTTTTTGTAAATTAAGTTTTATTGGAACAGTCATACTTACATTTACATATTATCTACAGCTGCTTTTGTGCTACAACAACAGCTGACAGGTGCAGAAGAAACCATATGGTCTCAAAAGCCTAAAATATTTACTATCTGGCCCTTTACAGCAAAAGTTTGTCGACCTCTGATAGAAGAAAATAGTCTCTATTAATATCTCTGAGTTGAGGGTCAGATAAATGGCTGTAGGAAAGAAGGTAGGCAAGGACCTGTAAAACAACAGTAAAGCTCACTTAATTCTCCTAAGCTTCAAGTTATACACTTTTATTCCAATATTCTGATACTTGTTTCATGGAGCTATACCAATGACAATTTTAAGTTTCTAGTCAGATTTCTCTCACAATCATTCAACATGGAATAACCCAAATCATTTTGGTCAGTTATCATATAGCAACCTCTTATTTACTTCATTAGGAGCTCTGGTGGTGCAAACGGTTAGCACTCGGGTGCTAACTGAAAGGCTGGAACCCACCCACCAGCAGACCTGGTGATCTGCTCCCAAAAAGGTTGTTTTTGTTGTGGGCTGTCAAGCTGATTCCGACTCATAGCAACCCTATATGACAGAGTAAAACTGCCCCATAGGAATTCCTAGACTGAAATCTTAACAGGAGCAGATGACCATGGCTTTTCTCCTGTGGAGCCGCTGGGCGGATTCAAACCGCTGACCTTTCAGTTAGTAGCCAAGCACTTAACCACTGCACCACCAGCATTCCTTTCTGTAAAGATTATAGCTAAGAAAACCCTGTGGGGCAATTCTACTCCGTAACATGGGTTCGTCATGAGTCAAAATCAACTGGACAGCACCTAACAACATTTACTTCATCACATTTAAAGCTTTCATTCTTCATATTACTTTTTCTGAGTAGTCTGGATCAAACACAATATAGGAAACTCTTGGCATTCAGTATTTACTTTCTCTGTCCAGGAACAACACAACACCCATGTGACTCTCACATGGTAAGAGACCAAGAAAATGTTACAGAAAAAGAAACTGCTTCAGTAAATATATATATGATAACCTGGTATCTTAATTCACCTTTGTTGCTCCCTACTCAGTGTAGTTGTTAAACACTAATTTCTAATTAAATTAAAAAATTGTGCCTTTATGAAAAATTGACTTGAGAAAAAAGTCATATTGATTATGTACAACCAAAAATCTCATGGGATTTGATTTCTTGGTTTGGATGTTTAGGGTTATAGTTTCACAGGACATCCCAGTTAACTGGCCTAATACGTTTAGTGCCTCTATTCTACCTTCAAGTTTGATGTGTAGTGCCTAGGGTCTTAAAAGTTTGCAAGCAGCCATCCAAGTCATAAAAATTGGTCTCTATTCACCTGAAACAACAGAGGAAGATGGAGAGTCAGGAACAGGGGAAGGATATGGAATGTGTGGCTAACTGCCTCCATGAACAACTGCCTTCTTTACCATAAAACCAGAAGAACTGGATGGCACCAGGCTACCATTACTGAATATTTTGATCAGAGATTCCACAGAATTCTGACCAAAAGGGGTAAAATGCAGAACAGAATTTAAAATTCTCATGGACTCTAGACTTTTTGGAGCCATGAAGGTTGGATGAACCCCTGAAACTACTGCCCTGAGATAATCTTTAAACCTTAAACCAAAAATATCCCTGAAATCTTCTTAAAACCAAACAATAGTTTAGCTTAACTAATAAAAAATGTCTGCCTTGAGCATTATGATCTTTTAAGAACTATCTATATGGGATCAAATTAACAAAAGCAACTCGAAAGATTAGATAGGAACTTTAAGGGGCGGTGATTTTATGTTAATGAAGGAGGAACAACTCAGAAAAGGAGGGTGAGAATGGTTCCACCACTCCAAGAATGTAATCAATATCACTAAATGGTACACGTAGAAACTCCTCAATTGATGTATGTTTTGCTCTGTATATTCTCAACAACTACAACAAAATAAAAAGCCATCTGCTGGTAAAGTTCAGTGAAAAACAGGATTACGATTACTAAATAACGTAAGGTGGTATAGTCTACTTTCGTTATTTTAACAGTTAAGTACATAGTTTTATTCCTAACTCAGTTATAGATACGCTTACTGCACTCAGTGAGGGGAATAATATGATACTGTGGTATACACGAATTTATGGATTTGAAAGATCCTAGGACCCATTCAACAAAAAGAGCAAGGGACAACTGTGTTTCAAGGGTAACTACATCATGTTTTTTTGTACAAGGGTACAAAATTTTCCACCGAGTTCCCAAAGCTTCCCTTATAATACCATGGATTTGTTGGCCTTTTTCCCCTTTCTTTTTGTCCACATCAGGCTATTCAGATGATTGTCTCCAGGAAACCAGTTAGGACTCTCAATTCCCAAGCCCCTTTTCTGACTCATAAGTAGATCCTATTACTAATAATACACATACATACTGGAGAAATTTTTCTTTAGATGCTGTCATAGATTGAATTGTGTCCCCCAAAGATATCTGTCAACTTGGCTAGGTCATGATTCCCGGTACTGTATAATTGTCTACTGTTTGTCATCGGATGTGATTTCCTTATGTGTTGTAAACTCCATCACTATGATGTAGTAAGATGTATTAGTGGCAGTTATACTGATGAGGTCTACAAGATTAGATTGTGTCTTAAGCCAATCTCTTTTGAGATATAAAAGAGAGAAGCAAGAAGAGAGATAGGGGGACCTCATACCAAGAAAGCAGTGCCAGGAGCAGAGCGTGTCCTTTGGACCTGAGGTTCCTGCACTGAGATGCTCCCAGACCAAGGGAAGACTGATGAGAAGGACGGTTCTCCAGAGCCAACAGAGAAACACTTCCCCTGGAGTTGATGCCCTGAATTTGGACTTATAACCTACTAGACTGTGAGAGAATAAATTTCTCTATGTTGAAGCTATCCACTTCTGGTATTTTTGTTATAGCAGCACTAAATGACTAAGACAGATGCATTACTTTATGCTTACTAGACCAAAACACGTTTCTGGCTGTTTATATAGCTTCTAAACATCTTCCTACCATATTTATCTCCATCATTCATTACCCAGAAGCCCTTACTGCCAGCTTTAGAAGGATAATACAGTTAAAATCACCTTACATTGCTACTAAAATGTTAATAATAAACTATGAAACAAAGAATTACTTTTCTGCTTATATTAAAATGAAAATCTATGGAGAAGTACTTTATTTAGGTCACAAATAAAACTATAACTTGTGAAAACTTATGTATACCTAACTGTTTCATTTTACTTAGTACAATATTAGAACATATTAATTTATGATTTAAGAGACTACATACTCAAGTAGTTCAATATCCACCATACCTTTTTCTTCAAGGAACAAAAAGGATACAATTTAATGCTTAGACAATGCCACAATCAGGAAGAGTGATCAAAAGAAGAGATGGTATCTGGAAATGAAGAGCAAGATTTTAAAACTCTGATTGAAAAAAAAAGTTAATCAAATATTTCTATTCTCTTGATTCTCTTACACTTCCATATTCAACTTAAGTTTATAAATTAAAACAAACCAACGAAAACCTCTCTGCACTTAGGCAACAACATACAACTGATACCCAGAGATAACATGTCATAAATTTACAAAAGTCAAAAGTCAAAGCTTAGAAGGAAGCTTAAATTCAGTATCTCCATCTATTACGAGACAGGATAAGTGAGTTTTACTCCAAAGTCACAAAGTTAGGACAATTATCTGGGTCTGATTCCACCCCAGTTATCCTAACACCACAATGCTACCTCTTAATACTGACTTCTGTCTGATTTCATCTAACGTTCCACGAATATTACCACGTGAAGCCAATACCTAGCTAAAGAACTAACAGCCTGAATACCAAAAAAAAAAAAAAAAACCTCACTGCAGATGAGTCAATTCCAACTCATAACCACCCTACGGGACAGAGAAGAACCATCCCATAGGGCTTCCAGGGTTGTAAATCTTTACGGAAGCAGAATGCCACATATTTCTCCCACAAAGCAGTTGGTGATTCCAAACACTGACCTTTCAGTTAGCAGCAGAAATGACCAATAAATAACCAAAACAATTTCAACTTTATTATAACTTTTTTTCTACATACAGTGCTTTGCCAAAAACTGTAGAGTACCTGAAGGAGCCTGGGCAAGATTCAAGTATTTTATCATTAAAAAAATTAAGTGCTCTAGGGCACACAATGCTTCAATAAGAACAATTCCAAACGACTACGAAGAGCAAACAATAAAAATACATTTAAAAAAAAAAAAAGTCAAACTGTAGATTTATGCTAAACTATACTTCCTCTACAATGTCTCAAGATACAAAAAATTTTTAGATCACTGCATACTATTATTACTAGAGGGAACAGGATTTGAACAGAAGTCTGACAATGATAAAACATCTCAACCACTTAAAAGCAGTTTTTAATCCATTAACAGTGCACACAGTAGGCGTTCATTGTGAATGTTATCCTTTTATCTTCCCATAAACAAAATATAAAATGTTCTGAATCAGTATTTATATTTATTTTCACTGCAACAATAAGAAAATTTTTAGATGTCCAAAACAGTTTAGATATTTTGCCTCTCCCCATAATCGCTGTTAGCAATTTTCTAGATCTA